GAAATTTCGTTCAAAGAGAGACGAATGTCAATCATTCTAGCGTGATTATAGGATCAAATTAACTCAATTACCCTATTAAAAATGGATGTACAGACACGAGATTATTAGGCCAGATTCTTTGTCTTGTTCCTCATGAAGAATGTCAGCTTACTTTAGAGCCAGTGATTGTGGATCTCGAGGCTACATCGTTTTTGAGCTGAAATCTGGGAGTTTTTGACTAATACTGGCTTACCTTTCATTTATTTCGAGAAGGCGGGTGAAAGGGATTCGTAGATTGAACCCCCCCCCGGATACCACAGGAGGGTTGCCTTGGAATGTTGTCTGTTGATCTGTGCGACGAAAACCCCGGCTCACCGTCCTATGAGCTAGATGACTCCGTGCTGAGCTTTCCTCAGTCATGTGACGGACGCTGTCAGAGACAGAAACCATTATTCACGACAACGTCACCCAAAACACTAAACCGTGAAAGGTGTTTGGCAAGGCAACCTTCCTTTGGTATCTGGAGCGGCCAGTCTACGAATCCCTTCGACTCGCCTTCTCGAACGAAATGAAAGGTACACCAGTACCAATCTATCAAGGGATTCTTCGAAACCCAGCTTCTCCACATATCTTTTTTGACTAAACCTACGTGTCAACAGCCCCTCTGTTAGGCCTTTTCGAAGGCAGTAGGAAAGTCCAGATAAACTTCACTTAAATGCACTCATGCTATCCGTATGGCTGGATTTTGCTGAGACTTGCTGCTAATTGCTGGCCTGACGCAACTCTTGGAGAAGCAGCAGTTGCACAATAGCTTCGAATGTACATGAATTCATATTTAGTCGATCATCCGTCGTCAAGGCGTACAACCTACAGATTATATTTTTCATTCTTAGGCAGGTTTTTGAGACTATCAATAGAGCAGATATATAAGATGTACTAACCCTATTTCGTTAAGGAGTTGAATTTTCCCACATTCAATTGAGTCAAGAAGAAATGTGTCGTCATCTTCTATAGGGTTAGAGTCTTGAATCTCTTTCTTTCACAGCTTCACTCAAAATGGGAAATTAAAAAGTGGAAAAGAGGAGAACCAACTTTTCTTCTTCTGACTTATGTGTTGTCTGGCTCCCGAATGGCTAGATTGCAAATAGGCTGACCTGGATTTTGGTATGACGTAGGGTAGAATGTCCACTTTAGAGTAAGACGCATGCAATCACACTTCTTATTCACTCCCCAGTGTCCTATGGGCAGGTTGGGAGAGCGTACCGGACCGAGGTAACCCGGTCTGGGACTGAGGCAGTGTACAGGCGGGGCGACATAGTCCCTCGTAATGTTTGTTGCCAGCCAAGGCGAGTTGGTCAGCCTCCGTGCATGGCCTGAAGTGCCAGTCAACTTTTAATCAAACCGCCTGAATCCCAATGCCCACATGGGCTTACTGGCAGGCTCGAGATGAGCCTCGAAAGAGACTGACACGGGCCGAAGAAGTCCGGTTATCTGATCCGTATTTGGCTGGTGTGAGTATACAATGCGGTGGTAGTTTGGGCGTCCAATTGGGGCCGAGGGAAAGGGGACGAACAGGGGTCAACAGGCGGTCAACACAAGACAGAGTTGTATCCGAGACATTCATACAACATCTTATTAACTCGGTCTGTCGTGGGAATAGGTCGAGACGAGGTGAACAGAGGCCGTGCCAATTGAGAGGATAGGATATGAAGGGGATAGACAAATAGCAGGCCTGGCGGAAGAAGTGAACTGGCAGGATGAGAGGAGTAGACGAGAATTACGCAACATCAAGCCGGGACCGTATGAATGTGAAAGGAACGTAATCCACTCACGAGTTGCATGTGTGCCTGTAGTGGGTGCATGCATATGTGTATGTGTGTGTTGGGACAATATGAATGTGAAAGGTGTAATTCACACACGAATTGCACGTGTGCGTGTGTGCGTGTGTGTGTGTTTGTGTGTCGTAGGCGAATGTGCGCAATGGAAGCAATAGGTCCGAATCAGGGGTGACAACTTGCATGGCTCGTGACTCCTGTTACTACAGCAACCCTAGCCCCGGCTGCTGGAGCAACAGTTAATCCCGAAGCAAGCATCACCTGAGCGACAGGTAATATCGAGCCAGATGGCTTCCGAAATGGCCGTACTGTTTGGTTTCCCTGTTCGTCCACTTTAGTCTCGTCGGTCCCCTCCTCACGGCCTCGCCCGACCCCGAACATGCTGGCCGTACACCTGCGGGCTGCCAGCTCACAGCAACACTGGCAACAGCAACAGACTGCAAATGAAATGTTCACTACAGATGCCGGTATTGCGCAAGCGCAGGCAGGAGACAGCCTTTGGGCACAACCATGCGGAAAGTGAGGCACTACATGCCATGCGATAGCAACAGTGGGGCTGGCCTTCGTATAAGCCTGCACATGTCCGTCATGATGGCCAGAGCAGACAGACAGTATGTACATGAGGCTCTGATGATCCGACTTTCTGGTCGTTCGCATCAGACCTCCGACCTCTTCACAGTATCTGTGGCTCAACCCTGTCACTGTCTGGCCAGGATGCACGTCTTGACCCTCCATTCAGGACCGGAGTCGTCAGCGCTCTCTTCTGCTTACAAAAATTACAGATAACCACGAGGTTCGGATCATCTTCCG